ACTGACCCCCAGTTTTTGAATTTTTAAATGCACCTTGCTTATTTTTCCAACAACGGTGTACTAAAAACATTATTCTACGAATGCGAAATGTGGCGAAAGACGAAAGTTGGAGAGCGCTGCCCAGAGAGAGAAAGAGAGAGCGATTTAAGCCAATTCCAGTAGTACTCAATAACACCAACTTGTCTGGTGCCTTCGAAACCTAATTTTTTTTCATTTTTTCCAGGAAAATGTTTGAAACGGCCAAAATAATGACTTTTACCGGCAAATACTGTATTCAGAATGAGTCAGCAAATTGTCACTTCAGGAATCTAACTTTTATTACTACTTTCAGATCCCTCAACAAATGATCATAAGCACACTGATAAAGCAGGAAATGGCGTGTTTTACTCAGCAACAGCCCTGATGATTTTGTCAGTTCTTAGATATTCACTTTGTCGTATTTAAGTGCTTATCGTTTATCAATTAACTTTTATTGATCATGTGAAAAAGCATATATCTGTATTCGCAGGGCTGATTCGGCAGGTAATAAACCGTTACAGTGGTGTTGAAACATATCAAAGAGTCAAACCCGTCACCAAGTTGCTTGTAAACAAGGCTTGAAACATGGAGCCATGGAAAGCCACCAGCGGGTGTTTGCTACTGACAATTACTACCTGTCGTTCTATTTCGGAGTGGTTTTGTCTCTCAGAGATAATGAGCATGCCCCCTTCGATCACCTTCAGTAAATAATGACGCTAAATTATTTTCTGTCTTGCTTTTTCGCAAAACAGGAAAAATAACAGTTCTTCTCGAAGGGCCCTCCCATTTTTATTCATTTTTTTTAAACCTCCACCACCCTTTCTCTTCGCTGCCTTCTTACTTTGTTCCCACCCAGATTAAATCGAAAAATCACTAAATTCTGAATAAATGGCTTAATAGTAGTCATTTAGGGCTTCCTTTCCCATTGTAGTATTTGTCGCGCAGTGAGCATTTGAAGAAATTGTTGACCACATCAATGCTTCCTGCCGTGTCCGTTTGAGCTGAAGTTCCAATTCCGTGTGCGTACTTTTCGTGCCGTCGTAAGCGATCGTAACTCTTGTAGGGACGCATGCAAAGCAAACACGCGAATCTTGTTCTAGCTACATGTGATAAATTTGGAGACCAGTTTCTGGATGGCACATTCACATGCGACTGCCCCAGATAATCACCCAGATTTTCCTCGAGAAACGGATTTGCTAAATTAGCTTCCTTACGTGACGTTTGTATCCAAGCTTGCTTCATCCAAGCATTCCGAATTTCCTGAGATTGCGACTGTGAAGGCAATGCTGCACTGCGTGCCAGGTAACAGGATGCTGATGGATTTAGCATGTGAGCAGCGCCACTGAAAAAACGCTTTATTAGCCCGACCAAACTGACCAGTGCATGGCAGCCTGCTTCATTTAGGAGTACTAGAGCTCTCAGGCACCCTTATGTGAGCATACCAAAAGTCGCACAGCGAATTTCGGCAAAATATGCGAATTTCGGTTTGTCC